CTGCAAGAAACGTCCTGGACCAAGAAGAGAAGAAGAAGAAGAAGAAAAAGTGTTCTAGGGAATGAAGAAAATCCATATGTATTTCTTGAACCAAAGAGCAGTTGGGACTTTTTGCAGTGAGCAATGACTGCCTCAATTGAACCCCCAATTTCTGTTGCACTGCTACTCCTCTTGAGGAAGTGAAACTCATGAAAAGCATTTGAATTAAACGAGCAAGACGAGGAAAAAGAAGAAGCACCAGATGAAGAATTAGATGAAGATGAAGATGAGCCCTTATTGTTTATTGCTCCTGAGAATGAGGACCTCCTATGTACATCATTATCCTCATGAATCCCCTCTTTCCCTATGCTCTTCATTTTAGTAGTTGTAGCTAGGCAAAAAAATCTCCGCAACTGATACCTAAATTTGTGCCCGCACTGGACAAATTTTCTGGCTCCGCCCCTGAATACGTGTACGTAATAAGTTTATAAGTATTTGTGGTTCTTAGTATCTCACCGTGCTCCCAATGAAATCTCGTTTTAAATTTTTGGTGCCCTATATGAGACCAACGCAAGTTTGGAACCGTTTCTATCACCTTTATCAAATCAGTGGCTCTCTTCCTCCATGCAACTACCCTATTCTTATTAAGAATATTTTATGTAATGAAGGACATCGCGTGTGGAAAGCGCTAAAGGTGGGGAAGGAGGAGAATTCCTCACCCCGACTCTAACTGGGTTAACTAAAATACACCCGTCAGAAAGAAGGGATTTTTTTAGTTGAAATTTGAACACCTAATTTCTGAAGACATGGAAAATACTTGTACATCAGTGATGACAACATCATTATCGAGCACATTGATCGGGACTTGATTAGAAGTTCAACTCAGCTATAGTCTTCTGACTAGTTGGACATTGTCTCCTATTCTGCTCCAATAACTTCTTATTCAAATCTATTTCAATATGATTATAAATGGACAATCCCTATGAGATCTCGATATGTGTAAATATTATTTATAAGCCCACATCCATAAAGTTCCAAAGCCCACATTATACTGCATAATATTTATACACTTATTTTCAAAAAAGGTTTAAATAATATGTCATCGTATCTTTACTCCACATTTTTTTTTTGATAACAGTGAATGTCATGACCAATTTGCGCATACCTTAACTAATCCCACGGAGCCTAAAGTTTACGATCGGGTAATCACCTCAGCGGCGCTGAGGGGATTCGAACTGGTAACATTAGGGAGCAAACTCAAGACTTGACCAATTAGGCAACCCCTCAAAGTTTTTACTCCACATTATAACACCATCAAACACCCAATGCCACAAGAACAATAACCTTTCATCCAAAAATGTGCGAGAGCTCCACTTAAAGAAGTGTTTTTCAAGATGTCTAAATCAGTCTTGCATTTGATATTTATCAGACCCATTATGATAATTCGGCAAGCTTAACTCCCTAATTGATCTTTCTCATCGTCAAGTATCCAACATTAGCTATCAAGGTTGCAGTGATAGTAAGATACAGAGACAAAAAAGTTACTCTCGATCATCATAGTGAGATATGTGTCTGTAAAATGATCATCCCAACATAAACATTCTGTTGCATACATGATCAGTACCATAATTCTTGAGTGCCACAGTGTGCGTGTTGGCGTCTGTGACTTATAAATGCAAGGATGGACAATATCATAATGCTCAATTCAAGTGATGTTTTCTTATACCTATTTAAATTTCTCACTCAATTAAACTTGAAAGCCGTTGCTGCTTTCCTTAGGCCGTAGCATAGATACAATAAAATAGACATAAATTATTTAACACGTTCCTTGCATACATACATTCACGTGTAAGGATTATATAGATTTCTGTAAGCGCATTGACACTGTAATAGAGCATTGACACGGGATCAAATGTTTGTATGAATGTAGCAAACCTGGGAGAGAGGATTGACGGCAAATTCGGGTACCGACATGAACTCATCGGCCGAGATGAAGCCACACCCATTACGATCAAGCTGGCAGAACCTCTGGTACAACGACACTATCTCCTGCTGCGAAACTACGCGCCCCAAAAATTATTATCAATGTTATAATTATACCCCCAAAATCAATTATAAACAGAAAAGATTAGAAAGCCTAAAGATTTTCAAAGAAAATAAACCAACAAAAATTCAAAATTACAATAAAATAAAATGAAAATAAAGTTTATGGGTAAGTTACAGACAGCTGTGATTGCAGTGATCTTGGACTTCTTCTATGTCGTACTGAGTGAGCATGGAGGAAGTGTTCCCCATGTTTTGATTCTTGGAAGAAGCTTTGAGGTCTGTCTACCGTTGAATTGAATGCTACGAAAACGTTGGGTGGAGGGGGTTGAGGTTTTGGTTATCTGCAAGGGTCTCGGTTTTTGACCTTGCCATGGTGATGATGCATATGTTTATTTGAATTCGTACCGTAATCCTCCAATGTTCATGTTTGGTGAAACTTGTACCAAATTCAATGTTCAATACTTCATTTGAATTAAAATCAATTTTTTTATTAAATTATAATAAAAGTGAATAAAATGTGTAATTAAAATGTTATAAATTTTACATGTGAGCCCCATAAGATATAGGGTAGATTACCTATTCAAGAGAATAAATTTAGCATATTTCAAAAGTAAGAAAACAAGTTTGAAATTTCCAAAATCAGACTTCTATTAAAAAATTTTAAATTTCTATTTATGAAATAATAAATTATTTTTTGGAAGATTACATATTTAAGAGAATAAGTTTAACCTATTTCAAAAATAAGAAAACAAATTTGAAATTTTCAAAATCAGATTTCTATTAAAAATTTTTAAATTTTTATTTATGAAATAATAAATTATTAAATGAATTTATTATTAAATATTTAATTCTAATATAATATAATTAGATCTCACCTTCACCCCCTACCGCTCCGGCGACCGTTCCGATTTGGAAAAATTGCGGCCGTGGTCCCAAACCTTTTATTTTAGATTACACCCAAACCTTTTATTTTTGCGGCTGAAATCCCAAACCTTTATATATATAGTTGCAGCGTCGATCCCAAGCCTTTAATTCCGTCCATAAAACAGCCAGTCAACGTTACAACAGTAATTTTAAATC